GGGACTTGGGCAGATACATTAAAAGCTGTAGCTGCCTGCATTTCTAAACCACCCAAAGTAGCATGTATCTAACTCACAGTTCATCCCGGAACAAAGTATTTTAGTAGAGCCTAAACCCACTCACCATGTAGTCATTAAATACCACATATTCCATTTAAACCCATTGATTCATCCTTCCACCTCCGGGCATGCCAACAGATGAACAAGTCATACATTTAGTCTTTCCATTAATGAACAAAATGTTAAGTCTTTGCCTAAATTTTGGGAATTTTTCTTTTAACTGCACATATACGTAAGGTGTTTTTAATGTCAAAAGAGTGACATGGGTTGTTCTGGTTCGGTCGTTTTCCTTCTAAATGTGTATTCATTAAGTTTTCAAAACAAAACCCATAAACATGTTATATTCAAGTCAGGACACTTAACCATTACTGACAGTTTAACAGACACAGCAATTTCCAGCTGATCAGCATTCATTTCAGCTCAAACTACACATACTGTTAATCCAACAGAATCCAATAATGTTTTCTTTAATAGTATACTGAAACATGAAGGATTGTAGTTTACACTCTAAACCTTGTATTCCAGGACTGTAATCATGACCCACTAACCCACTTATAACAGAGGTTAAAGAAAGGTACAACACGGCAGTTACACTCCTGTCATTCATACAACTTGTGCAACTATCCAAGATATAAAAACTTCAAGTCAAAAACTATTTCTCATGAATTTTACACAGCTGAATGACTTCAGCGAAAGCAACAGCCCTGGCAAGCTTTGATGACAGACCTGCCTTTAGCCTATTTCCCACGAAACCACAGCACTGCAGCATCCCTCCTCAGTGAAGAGCCCTCCTGCAGTTTGTAGTGCAGCAGCAGCTCAGCAGCGAGCGTAACATGCCCCAACCAGCATACTTCACTTGTTGGATAGACTGGCTGAACTGTTCTAGCTCTCAAGATAATCTAAAAGATTTGAGATGAAAGGTGAAAACCAAAGATTTATAAAGAGAATAACCCCAGGACGTGAGCTTTATCAGTGGGAATGCCATTTGAGATCATACTGCTTCAAGCAATATATATACACACACACATATCTATGTACACACACATTTCTACAATATGTATACTTTTTTTACATGTATACTTTCTTTGCAGCAGCCACTACAGGCAGGCAGTATTAACACAGCCTTTGGTTCTTAGCTGAGCATGAAGCAGCCACAGACAAAAAAACTGAACAGGAATATCACTAACACACAAAGTACATGCACTGACCAACTCCTCAGCACTCCTGCCTCATCACAATTCACTCTTTGAATAGGAAAACAGAGGACATGAACAGAATACAAAGCCGTATCCAGACTGCTCAAACCCAAGAAGCCATGTCTCCCACAATCCTGACAAAATAAGGAGACAACCTTGCTAAAGTAAGAGCCTGAGGTATGTTTATATTTCTGCCATAAAATGTTATTTATATATCATCTTATTGTCAATATTTAGGAAAAGAAATCCCTACAGGACCTGTGTTATCCCCCAAATCAAAACCTGTATTAACTAATGTATTCAGGATGAGAATTCCTGTACAACTCCAACCTGCTCCCTCCATTCTTTACAACTTTGCTTCCAGCTGCTGAGCAACAGCCACGCCAGCCTCTACGTAACGTACAATCCCGATTACGCTACAAGCAGTCACAGCGCGTACCCATGATCACGCAGGAAACCAGGCTGGGTGCATAGGCACCAAACTCACATTGCCTGAGGTCTTCCTCCTCCAGCCCCAAGTACAAACTTCCTACCAGCACAAAGCTATTTAGCTGCAGGCAAGCACCGCTAAAACAGTGCTTCCCAGTATTAGTCCATCAAAACATTCAAGATTAATTTTAATGATCTTTGCAAGATCTATAGTGGGAATGCAGAAAGACACCCTCGTGGAGGCTAGCCTGCAGATCCCCATTAATTCTTGCTTCGGACATACTGGGAGTCAGCTTCATGCTGACACACTAAACAGCATGCCTTAAAGAGCAGGAGCCGTGTGCTAGTGGGATTAGTGATCAACAGGAGAGAAAGATCCCTTATTTCATGTGAGGTGATCTGGTCTGTGAACTCCTTCCGGCAGTCCCAGTCCCTTAGAAGTAAATGCTTTTCCTCTGCATTAACAAAAGAGGGGAAAACTCTGGGCAACTTGAGCTTTGTGGCTTATATTACCAAAACCAAATAAATCGCCCCTCTTCAATGGACCCCCTCTGTCTCTGCCAACATCTCTTCAGCGTCCCCCTCTCCACCTGTTCACTCAGGCGTGCGATGACATGGGGTGTTTTTGTAAACCGGCTCTCACCACAGCTAATACACAATCATTTCTTTTCCCTAGCTCCAAGAGGAGAAAAATCCAACTTGCCAGAGGAGCATCTGCATCGAGAACTGCTTTTGCTGATGGGATCAGGGAAAGCAGGAGAAATGCTCGCATACCAGTTCATTACCCTTGCACGCATCACCCACAGGCATCCCCCTCCTGCCATCCCCCAGACCAGATACCGGATGCAATAAAGAAATTAAAGAAATAGAATAAACCCCCAAGCAGAATTTGAGAACAAATGTGCTTTGAATGCTACACAAATGACATTGAAGATGCAGAAAGAAATATGTAATTGCTATTGCACTGCATGATTTCATGGGCTTATTTCCTAGGTACCCATTCCACACACCCTTCCCACAAAGATCCCCTCCTCTCCACCCCCTTGGCTTCTTTAATGAAAAATAATCTTTGATCCTTGAGGATTATTTTTAAAGCTACAAAACCCAACCAACCCCATCTGCAGCCTCTTCCCTCTAGTCTAGCCCATTTATGGGGTGGAGGGGTGCATCCACAACCCCAGAGACCTCCCTCTGCCCTCCACCCTCCACACACTTCACACCCCTTCCACCTTGCTATGCTGCATCCCATCTCAGAGGACACTGGGCAAAGCCGGGTCTTTACAGCTGTCCTCACAACACCCCTTTCAGACAGACCAATATCTCTGTAGAAGTGTTTGCATCTACAGGCTTTCATCCTGGAGAATCCCTCCCTGCCTCCTCCCACATCCCATTTTTGGGGGAGGATAACGCAATTTCCAGTTTACTCTGAAGGATGCTGTTTTATTCCCACTGATCATGGGGTCAGTTCACAGTCCCTTCCTCCAAGCAGTTATCTCCTCCCAGAGGGGAACAATCCCTGTCTCTGACCTTCATCCTCAGACAGGCAACCCCACCGCCGTGCCCGCTCCCCCGCCACCTGGCCGAGGAGAAGGTTTCTTCTCTCGCCAAAGCCACAGCCGAGGCATCACGATGCATTTTTCCACTCCCACAGCCCGCTCCTTCGATGCGGGGGGAGCAACGAGCCGGGGGCTCCCCCATCGCCCTGTGGGGAAAGGTTCTTGGGGACAGATGTGACCCTCACCCCCTTGTCATCTACCGGGGGGAGGACACAATCCATGCAGGCGGATACCAGCCCTCTGGAAACAGCACATCCCAGCGCTTGGCAGCCGGGGGTCTGCCATCCGCCCCCCTGCAGACCCTCCCTGGAGCAGCCCCCCCACTTGCTGTGGGGCCTTTCTCTTGCCCGTCACCCCTGCTACAGAAAGGGAGCGGTGGGGCAAGCCCTCCCCAGGGCCACGGGACCTCCCTCTGCAGCGCAGCTGCCATGTGAGGGTCACCCCCAGCCCCAGGCCTGCCTTCACTCCGTCACCTCGGGGGTGTCGTCTCCACCACCTCCTGTCAGGAAGAGCAGCTCCATCCCCCCACTCCCCGTCCTGCCCCGTGTCTGTGGGGCAGCAAGAGTCCAGTCCACCCCTTGAGGCACCATCTACAGCCCCACGGAGCCAGAATCCCTTCCAGAGCCCCTTACATCCCCCGTGCTGGGGGGGACATCACCCTGTGTCCCCTCGAGGCTGTAAGGGGACAGCAGCCCCCACTTCCCTTGCCCCAGCCCCACATGCTCACTGAGGGGGCACCTCTTCTCCTTTCAGGGCTCTCCTCAGTGAAGCAGGGCTCACCCCACATCTCCACATGGCAAGCACTGACCCACGTCCTGCTTAGACCAACGGACCCCACTCCTCTCAGCTCAGTCCCACAGACACCTTTTAGGAGAGCTTCTCTTCCCCTTGGACGCCCCCTCAGCACAAAGGGGGCTGTCACACCCTCTCCACCTGGGGGAGCACTGACCCACGTCCACCTTGGACCATGAGGTGACAACAACCCCCATGTCCCCCACCTCAGCTCATCCAGGCTCATTCTGTGCGGATCTCTTCTCCTGTGTCTCCTCACCCAAAGTATGAGTAACCCCGAAACCTCTCCTCCTTCTCTCTGCGAGGGTCACCACACTAACCATGACCACCTCAGACCAAGAGGTGAAACTGACTCATGCCCATTTCAGATCAGGAGCTGACAGCGACCCTCACGTGCCCCACCTCAGCCAGGGGACAATGAGCCACCTCTGCTTCAAACCATGATGCGATGCTGACCCACGTCCACCTCGCACCACTAGGTGATGCTGACCCACATCCAACTCAGACCGTGAGGTGACAGTGATGCCCATCCACCTCATCTCAGCTAGGGGACAGTGAGGTGACACTGACCCACATCCAGCTCAGACCATGAAATGACAATGATCCCCATGGGCCCCATCTCAGCCAGGGGACAACATCCCACCTCAAACCATGAGGTGACACTGACTCACGTCCACCTTGGACCGTGAGGTGACACTGACACACGTCCACCTCGGACCATGAAGTGACAGCTTCCACCATCTGCTCCATCTCAGCCAGAACACAGCGACCTACCTCAAACCATGAGGTGACACTGACCCACGTCCACCTCAGACCGCGAGCTGACAACGACCCCCAACCGCCCCACCTCAGCCAGCGGACAGCGACCCGCTCTCGGGGCGCGCCGACCCACCGCCATGTCGGGCAACGAGCTGCCGGCCACCCCCGTCTCCCCGCCCGGCCCGGGGGTACCCGTCCGCCCCCTTACCTCCAGACCTGCCCCATCTGCAGCAGGTGGATGACGGACTGCCAGACCCAGACGGAGATCCTGCAGAGGCGCTGCGCCCCGGGGGTGGTGGTGCCGCCGGCTCCTCCTACCCCGCCGGCGGGTCCCCCCCGGCGGCCGACGGCCCCCATCATGGGCGGCCCGCGGCTGCTGAGGCCCTGCACGGCGCCCAGCCCGCCGCCCGTGTAGTCCTGCACGAACCAGCGGAAGCTGAGGATCTGCACCAGCACCGAGGGCAGCAGCACGAAGGCCAGCGTCAGGCCGCACCAGACGTAGTCCCGTCGGCCGTAGTGGTGCAGCGCCAGCCACAGGTCCGTGCCCACGTCCCCCAGCAGCACCAGCAGTGCCAGCACGATCCACAGGCAGTCCAGCCACGGCCGCTCGGCCGCCTCGCCGACCTCCGGCGCCCGCGGCGGCCCCTCGGCGGCGGGGCGCGGGGCCAGCGGCTCGGCGGCGGCGGCGGCGGCCGCCCGCCCGAAGAGGCTCCGCAGGCAGGCGCTCCGGCAGCCCCAGTAGCACGACGACGTGTTGCAGCAGTGGCAGATGTGCAAGGAGCTGCTGCCGCCCGGCTCCTCCGCGCCCTCGGCCGCCGCTGCCCCGACGCCGCCGGCGCCGCAGACGCCCGCCGCTGCCGCCGCCGCCGCCGCCTCGTCCAGGTTGTGCAGCTGGGCGAAGCCCACGCCGCCGCCGCCGCCATCCGACTTGGCCGCCATCTTGCTGCCGCCGCCGCGTCTCCGGCCCCTTCGCCGGGCGCGCTCGCTCGCTCTGGCCCCCCCGTCCCCGCTCCCGGCACCCCCCCACCCGCCGCCCGCCCGCCTGCCCGCCCGCCGCTTCCGGGGGCGGCGCTTCCGCGCCCGCGCAGGACGGGCCGGCCCGGGCCGCCTAGCGACCGAGCGGGGCAGCGCCGCGCCGGGCCGGCCGGGGACAGACGGGCCGGGCCGGGCCGGGCCGCTGCAAGCGAGCGGGCCCCTGTGCTGCCCCGGCACCTGCCGGCCCCGCGCTCGGTGCTGCTCTCTGCCGGCACCCCGTGCACACCGGCACCCGGAGCTGCCCTCCTCCCCGCTCCCATTGCACCGGCACGCAGCGCTGACCGCTGCCCGTTCCCATTGCACCAGCTCCAACCGCACTAGCAGCCGCTGGTGTCCTCTGCCCGTTCCCGTTGCACGGGCACGCAGCGCTGCCTGCTGCCCTATTCCTATTGCACCGGTTCCAATTTCACCAGCACCCACTGCTGTTCTCTGCCCTGTTCCCATTGCACTGATTCCCATTGGTCTAGCACCTGCTGCTGTCCTCCACCTTGCTCCCGTTACATCAGCACCTAGCGCTGCTCGCTGCCCTATTCCCATTGCAGCAGCACCCACTGCTGCTCTCCGCACTGCTCCCATTGTACAGGTACGCATCACTGCCCCCTGGCCCATTCACATTGCACTGGCACCCACTGCTGTCCTCTGCCCATTCCCATTCCACCAGTTGCTATTGCATTGGCGCTCACTGCTGACCACTGCCCTATTCCCATTGTATCAGCACCCACTGCTCTCTGTCTGCCCTGTTTCCATTGCACCAGTTTCCACTTTTCTGACACCCACTCCTGCTTTGCGCTCTGCTCCCGTTGCATCGGCATCCACTGCTGCTCTCTGCTCCATTCTCATTGCATCAGTTCCCATTGCACTGGCGCCCACTGCTGCCCTCTGCCAATTCCCATTGCACTGGCATCTGCTGCCCTATTCCCATTGCACCAACACCCGCTGCTTTTCTCCCTGGGCCTCTGTGTTAGTACACACAGTATCCATTGTGTATCTTCCCCTAACGTCTGTGCACTGACACCCGAATTCCCCATGCCATCCCCAGCTAAGCCCCCTTCTTCTGACCCCATCCCACTCCCAAATCAGCTCCCCAGTCCAGTATCCCTGTCCTGCAGCGCAACCTCCCTGTTCCTATCATCACTGTTCCCCCTCAAATACCAGGACCAACACTTTGCCATCCAGGCTGTCCTCAGCCCACCCTCAGCCAGACGGCCACCCGCTTTCCACCTCCAGCAGTTCCCTGGTACCTACCAAGTCCAGGTCCTCCTATGAGTTTCTCTTTGCCTTTTCCCCTCCTATGGCTCTGCTGGGAAGGGGGTGTCCTATCCCACCCCTATCCCATGGGTCCCCCATTGCATAGCAGCAGTGTCCAAGCCCACCTCAGCACCTTCCAAATCCCCCACAGTCCTGTCCCTCTCCTAACACAAGGATCCCCCATCCTCTGTCCTCTCCACTTGTCTCTTCCTTATCCACATTGGGGGACACTGCGTCACCCATCTCCAGTTCCTTGCTGTAGGAGACAAACCTCTGCCAAGCTGAGGGAGCTCTGCTTTTGGGATCTGCCTGGAGCTGAGCTGCACCCTGGGCAGGTGTTTCACTGAAGGACCTACTGGCAGGCTCAGGAAGCCTAATTCTAGGTGCTCCACCCCCACCACCCCAGCTTCCCTTTCTACCCATTCACATTTGTTCATTCATCATATCCATCTTTCCTGTGTTGTCTTGTGCTGTCCTCTGTAGGTTACAATCTTCCCTCTTTTCTCTTTGTTTCCCCCTCATTACAAGTGTACTTCTTCCCTATACTGCTTCTCCAGCTGTTGCTTCTTCCTCTTTCTGTAGGAGTTTGAATTCTATCTTTTCTCTCTCTCTTTTTTTTTATATTTATTTTTATTTTTATTTTGTTTGTTTGTTTCAAACTGTGGCAAAATACCAGGGGTGATAGGTTCAGGGCTCTAGAACTTGCTGCCAAAGTTACTGCTTTGCAGAATCTAACTTTTAATAGGGAGGAAAATTAAATCAAGCAGGTGTAAAGATGCACAAGTGCAGATAAAACGCTTTTTCCAGGGAGAGAAAATGAATTTAATCTTGATAAGAGTGGGAGGACTTGCATATATTAAATCAACTGTCTGGGAAGCGTGTATTTGGCCTTTCTGAGGGATATCAAAAGAGCTCAAAAGTTTTGCAATGTCTGAAAGACGTTGCTGGTTTTGAAACAGTTGGATCTTCCTATAGAGGAGAAACAGGAGAAAGGAAACAGAAAGCAAAGCTCTGTGCATTGTCCAGATGAATGCTCTCTGATGCGCGCCAGTATGTGGCCAAATTGAAGTCATTTGTAGTGCCTGAAACTCCAGCACAAAGTTGTTCAAAAGGAGAAAACTGGTATTGTGGATATAATAGGATTGAAGAGGACATAATCCCACCAGTCCCCATGATACTGACTTCCCCCGAACAGTCCCTTATTTTCTGCCAACTTAAGCTATGGCAAGAAATATGAATATGGAAATAAACACCAGCCCTCAACTTGATCAAAATGAATTCATGAGCATAAGGCATGTATAATAATGCATACCTAATATAAAAATCCTTCTCCTGTTTGACACTTTAAAACCTGAGTGGTAAATATGCATGTTAATTCTCACAGCAGTAAGAAATAAGGTCTCTGGGACCCATATTCTTGGGTAAGAGGTACCTGTACTAAACTTAAACTTCTGGTTTGCGGTACAGTGAGATATAAATGGAAGCATTCCTCATTTCTTCAAACTTTCCTATGTAGCAAATTTGCTACATATGATTTGAAAGGGAAAAAAAAAACAACCAAAAAAACAAACCCAAAAGAGCACAGAAGTAATATAACTACTTGGTCTTCTTATTTAAATACAAGTGTAGGTGCACATTGCGCTTCATGAACCAATAATGGGGCAGAAGAGTCATCTGTTTTGATACAAAAACAACCCAAACTTCTGTGATGAGACATACGGGTGGGAGAAGACAGCAGTTAAGGATTTTAGCGTTGGCACGCTAAGTGAGAAAAGCAGTTGCTTGGGCAGTATATGACATGATACAACACACTGTTGAGACCCCTTCTGAAATTCTCAGTGCAATTGTGGCCACCTGTGTCCAAGAAGGGTGGATTGGGGCCGGAATATGTGCAGGGAAGAGCCTTTCAGTGATGAGAGGTGAGGACAGTCTGTTTTTCTACTGTGGACTGAAAGAATTCGGCTTGTTTAATTTAGCAAAATGAGACTGAAGAAGGAATATGTTTTCTGCCTATAAATACATCCTGGAAAGTAAATGCAAGCAAAGGAAAAGGTGTTGTGACACTGAAGGGCAACGGCAGAAGAGTAAATGAGTAGGAACTGTCCATGAATATATTTAGCTGAGAAATCGGAAGATCCTTCCAGTAGGAGTAACAGAGACTAAAAAAAGAAAAGTAACTAGTTTTAACACATAGCTTAAGAATTTTATAAAGGAAATTGCATACCAGTGTGAAACAACAAACAGTTGGGATGAAAGCCCTTGAAAGGTTTTCCAGCCCTGATCATCTCTCCTTGGAAAGATCTTGTCCATTTTGATGCGTGGTACACTATGTTCCTTCCTGCATCAGGCGATGAGTCACAGATACATGACTCCGTGGGTGGCCAGAAGTGATATCTCCACCGCTTACATATTAATTCCTGATTATCCCAGGTTCTCCAGCTCCTGCTCTCTCACTTATCACACAGCAGAGATGTGTGATAAGCCACATTCAAGCATCCCATGTACCCCTCAATTCTTTGGTACCCACAGCCACCGTGGCATGGGTCACTTCAGTCAAGGACATGGGAGAGATGCTTTGCCTCTTCAACTGACAAAAGCTGCAGTTCTGCTTTGTTGTAGCACTGGCTAGAAGAGTCATCAGCCAGAGCCTGTTTCTTTTCTTAGAAAAATTATGTATTTTTAAGGGCTTTTTTGGAAGCTGTGAGAGCCAATCACATCCGTGTTTGGATCTCTCTTAACTCATACGCTTGAGAGGAGAAAGCTTTTCTCTGAGCTAAGCAGTGACCTGCACTTCCGCCACGCTAGAGGCACTAGTGCCTAGAGGTCCAGGTAACCAACCTCTGGTGACCTCTAGATCTGCAAGTATTTATAAAACATGTTTAGCAAGGGTTTTTCCCTTGCAGCACTCAGAGCTGATCTGTCTGTGCCTTGCATTTCATGCTTTTTCTGTTCTTCAGAAGCACCAGCGAAACACCAGGAAGGGGAGGCATGTTTGGTATTCCAGCAGTACCCATCAAACCATGGCGTGGGATCACAACCTTCTTGTGCTTGTTGGTTAAAGGCTTTTTTGTCCTGATCAATATACTAATTGAGCTGTGTGGTCTTCCATCTTCCAGGCATTTATTCGGATCAGGAGAACAAACACTATATATAGAGAGGTATGTAAGCCAGAATCGGAGTTGTGTAAGTCTGGAACTACCTCATTTGAATAACTGGGGGATGGATCCAGCTGAGTGTTTGGTGCATGTGGAATACCATGCTACCAGTACAGATAATTACACTTAATGGGGATTTACTTTAAGCAAAGTAGGTCAGAAAAATGACATCTTATTGTGTCATTAGTTTTCATCAATTACTTCCATGTTGTTTGCTCAGTTCCCAAGTCAAACGAGTGTGGGCTGACAGCCTTGCAAGCTCAACTTGGTATTGTCTCTAAAAATCAAACTGTATTATTTCTGCCTCATGCATCATCACTAACAATAAAGCATCCACTGCTGGAATATAGCAGGTGGCTTTGCTATTCATGCATGAGGCAGAAAAGACTCCAGCTTCCTTTGCCACGACTTTGAAGTATGCAGTCTTTAAAGTTGGACATGTTGGTAAACTTTCTAGTAATTGTGCGAGCTTAACTTAGAAGACACATGTGGGTCAGTCCTGTTGATGAACTTTTGTACTTTCTATTACTTTCTGAATGCTACATGTATGTATTGGGAGGATTAACACAATGCTGCTTCTGCTGTTGTCTCCCTGTGACAGCACTTTGTGACATTATGCTTTCTCTAGGAAAGGTGCAGAAGATGCCAGATGTTATATGGTGTCTATATGGAAAAGCCAGCTCACGGTCATCCTAAGAACTGCCTCTGAGATAGAGTGTGAGGAATGTTTGGTGAGGCTTTCCAGTTCTAGCACTTCTTTTTTATTTGAGGACTTAGCTTTGGGGGTGTCAGTTTAGCAATGCAATCAACTGATAAGTGTTACCAGTGGTTGTCAATAATCATGTGTTAGTCTCTACAGACACCTTGAAATAGCTGAACGTGGTGTATTCTCACAGGTGGACCAGGTGCTCAACTTCTAATTCCACTTCCTTACAACTCTATTACTTCAGGTGCAACTGAGTAGTTTTGAATGACTTACACTTTCCAGGAAATACATTAACATTAAAGAATATGTTTAGACTTCAGTAGTCCAACCGGGGGCAGGTTCTTTTCAAAGCAAATATCCCTGTGAGCCACCCTGGCTTCACTCGCTGAGATTTTAGCAGGATGGGGCTATCAAGAGGAAGGCATCTAAAACAAGAGGCTATTCTTTAAAAAACAAATACCTTTTCTGGATATATTTTTGGCAAAATGGAGTTACTGATATAACCTACAGGGGTTGGGAAGCTTAATTAAAGTCCATAGAATGTGTACAGGTCCTCAGGTGTTGCATGATAAAGGCTGGATAAAAATCCTCTACCAAATATGTAATTACAAGAATCCCAAACTTTTCTCTGTTGGACACTAGTACTACATTTAAATCACTTTACACTTCCTGACATTTGAAAGTTAGTATGGTCTTGAATGTGTGCATTAGCAAACCTCATAGTTCCTATTATCTAGATCATACCTGCAGTGACATGGTTTATTCAGCTCTCTTCAGGCTTCCTTTAATCTCCTGAGAGCTGGATCTGTTTTCATTTATTGCTGTGCATCAAAAGGAACCTGTCTTTCTGCTTTGAGAAGCATGCCTTTGTGGGACACCTTTGGATGCAATCAGCCGAACCATTGACTTCTTTGCAAAGCCTGGCAGTACTTGCAGCTTTCCTATTAAACCAAGCACAGTTTGGTTTAATCCCCTCAGCCGTGCTCTCTGAGGTACTCGTTACCCAGCAGGAAGAAGCAACACGACTTCATCAGCCAAAAAAGGTGGTGAGCAGTGCAGGGAACTGTATGTTTCTCCCCTTGGAAAAGAATTAACAGCTAAGACCTCCGGTTTGATGGACTTGCTTGGTGCTTTTCCAAGCTGGGATTTAGGAAAAGCAACTGCGTAGCATTTCCTATTTCTCCCCATGGGGCTCCAATGATTTAATTGGCTATGAAGGGCAGGGACATGTCTCACAGAGTAGCTGGCTGCTATCACCAGCGTGCCACACTGCTCTTGTGAGTTCAGTGAAAAATGAAGTTATCAGGCAATGCTTCCCCTTCTGAACTGGGTGCATGTGAAGCTTGGCCACTGTGGCAACAGGAACTGCATGTAGCGTATAGCTTTTCTGTTCTAGGTTACTGGCAAAGCCAATGTATAGCCATGGACCAAGGGAGGAAGCGGAGCTATATTTACACCTTAACTAAGGTAGAGTATATTCACTTTAATGTGACTCCCCCTTTCCAGACACACTCCTTGATGCTCATTTTAATACCTGAAAATGCTGTAAACCTCCTCCAAACCCAAGCATGTAACAGAATAAAGTATTTTCTTGTAATTAATGCTGTCACTGCAGAGCTGTTAATTCAATTCATGACCTTTTCTATCAAACCAAGTAAAGGCAGAATGTTGCACTAATCCCAACCTGCCTGTGTTACCCCTTGGAAAACAACAAGAAAAAGGCTGCTGGTTGTAACTGCCCTGGTGACTGTAACTTCTTCAATCTCCCCTTAGCTGGAATGTCAGCCAAAGCATTGCCTGTTTCTAATGTGGGCTATTACACCTTATTTTCTCTACTTCCCCTCGTTGTGGTCTTTTCTCTAGTCAAGGTACTGCAGAGTGATCACCTTCCCCTGATTTCCCACTGAACTTGTGAGATCCTTCATGGACCATTTTCCTAAAGCTCTGTCCACACCAGATCTCCTTGGTTTTGTTTCCTTTTTCATCCTGAGGACAGAATTTCCATTCCTATTTATGTCAATTCCACCTTTGCAGCCCTTCTCTTCTCACCATGAGCCATGTGGGTTTTCTCACTTACGTGTCCTTTTGCACTTGCTAAATCTTTTGCCCCCTGCCTTGGCTCTACTACAGTCATGATTTCTGCCACTTTGGTCCTGAATAAAATGCCTTGATCTGGTAGAACCCCTGTTCTAAGTCACCGAGAGCTGGATTCAGCTCCAAACTGACACATCTGAATGTCTGCATCTGCACATAAGTTAGATGATCAAGTACCCATCATAGTTGAGAAGGAGCTCACCAATGGGTCTGTTCATTTCCCCACATGCAGACATCTAGTCCCACTTGAATGGCCCTGGGGAATCTCACCTGGCCTCCTGACAATGCTCCAAAAGGTCTTGGGTCTGTCCTACCTTCTGCATCATATGTGTCAGTCTTGGAGAGGATGCCTCAGCCACCTTGGGCCATCTCAGATGACAGAAGACATTGTGAAACTGCATCTATCTGGAGTATTCTGCTGTTAGTTTTGGTTGGAGCAGGGTTAGGCCCCTAGTTCACATCCACATGTACCTACTACTGATGCAGTTTCTAGGCATGGATAAGATCTGTTCTCCCCAACAGCAGCAGTAGGAACAAACTGGCTTCTCCAGGGATCTTCCCACCCTATGCCCCTGTCCCTTCTAACTCCTCTTGGCAGGAGCAGGCTCTGGTTTCAGGCAGCAAAACAGACTTTTTACCTGTTTTGAAGAGAGCCATTCAGCATCATTTGCCACATGGCATTAAGTGATGTAAGGAGACTGGGAATAAATAATTTATTCTATAACTGAGCAAAGACTTCTTTTGTGCGATATCAGAAACACTTTATTTTCTCTCTCCCTTTTACTGTCTCGCTGTATTGAAAGCATCACCATTTCTGTTTCTCTATTTTTTAAATGCTTTTAATTAATTTGGCTTTGCACAGGTAATTTAATATCCCAGGGGACAGCAAGATTTGCCCAGTGTGAAACGGACACTTAAGGTTTCGTCTGTATGGTGAAAATGTTCATGTGGCTATTTCAGACAGTGCCTAAAAATTAAGTGTTGCTATTCTGAAGCCTTGGTTCAGGCGCACACTGTGCTTTCAGATATGTGCACATCACCAGCAGATCCAGCTTTGGCAAGTGCTCTTCTCATTTCTTCCATCTGCCAGTGCACACAATATTTCCAAATCTGTTAATTAAGGAACTGGCATTTTTCCCTAAGATACCAGAGTAACCAGTTTCTTTGCAGCAAAAACTAATGCTTGCTTTGTCCATAATTACCTAAATTGTTGAGGAAAATTATTCTCCTTTCATGTTGATTCACTTTTGTAATTTCATTGCCAAGGCTAAGTGTGGTACCCATTTAAATTATCTCCTACTCTCATTTTACTCAAGACATGCTATTTGCTAACAAAGATTCAATATGGAAAAATGGGAAGGTGACAACTACCTCCTTCATCAATGCAAATGACAATAATCTCCTCTCCTCCACCATGTAAAAATAAACATTGAATCATCCCAGGCAGAAATACCCTTCTGCATTTAGAAATATGGATAGGGAAAGGCAACACCTGCTCTCATTTATATAGCCTTAAAACTCAAGTTTATCCAGTCATTCCATGGCAAATACTTCAGGAGATCAACACCAGTGTGGACGCAGACTGCAAATGTCCCCAGAGTTTTTCCCAAGAATATGCAAGTTCTTCAATTTTTGGTTTTACTTGCACTTGGAAATAGAAGATTAATTTTGGTTCTTGTTAGATCATTGACATTATTTATACTAAAAAATCATCCCAGCAACTCTGCTATAAATTCCTGCTTTTGATAGCTCTCTGATGTTATTACAGCTCCTAAAGCAACATTAAACCTCCCACAATTGAACACCTCCTGTAATACGTGCTGTAGGGTGTGCCCAGACCTGTGGTGAGCATGGGCTCAGGGTGATGGTCCTTTCTGTCAGACACTCAACTGCTGGGAGGAGCACATGGAAACCTTCACCATCAGGCTTTTACATTACTTACTGCACAGTAAGTAGTTACCAGTACTTGAGTTGTCACTTTGGAAACACTTACTTCAAGGCTTTTTCTATGACTCCGGGGTATCCTCTGTGCCTGATGCCAAAAATGCACCTCCTTCCAGTGCTCTTTTCCTGGAAGAGTATGCTTGTGTGCTAACATGGACTACAGTCATCAACTTTGTGGTTAGAAAAGGAAGGACCAGGTACAAGTGCATGGGTGACTTTTGCAGAGCATGGGAACATTTGCTCTTGGGCACATAAAAAGAAGGTTTTTATCTCACATTTGATTAAAAAGAAATCCCTGACCTGCCACAGAAAACCACTTTCAAGATCTTAAATCCTGACTGGTGCTAGACTCTGCAGTCTTTACCCTGGGTCCAGCTGGTGCATGAAACATCTATGGGGAGCTGAGAGTGCAAAAACTTGGTCAAAATCCTCCAACAAAAAGAGAAAATGGCCAGAAAACCACCCTGGGGTGGATTTAACTGTGTTGTGCTATAACCCAGGAAAAGCAGAACGGAGGGGAACTCCTGGGAAGTTACTTGCTTTTGGCCCTTTGCAAAATATGTTGCATACCAGGCCCCTGCTTCCTAAACAGAGCTAATAAATAAAATCTGCCCATGGCCCCATGAAGCTGGCATGGAAGACAAAAATTAATTACTCCAAAGGCAACCCTTTTCTCACCCCGCTGAAAATACGAGTTCTCCAGGCTCTGCTGACGTCTCTTTTGATTCCTTCTCGTGCTCTGAGCCATTCTTCTCCCCGCAAGGATAGATATTTAGATGCTCACCTTCTAATCAGCTGCCATTACAGCCTTTCCCAGTACCTTCTGCTGCCAAATTGGAGGGGGGGGGAAAGAGAAAGGTTTTTTTAAAAGAGAGAGGGAGGCGAATGCTTGAAAAGACATATGTGTTTAGTGTTGTTGGCAGATTTGTAAACTTATTAGTGCCTCCGCACACCATGTAATTAAGATCTACTGGTAATTAGTCAATAGTTAAAAATAGGGGTTGTTATTGTGCTACTGAAAACACGTACAAAATAATGTGTTCTCTGCACTCAAGATGCAGTTAGTGTCTCTAAAAATGTTAATTTAAAAAATATGTATTTGTTTCGGAGCCAGATCTTTTAGCAAAGCAGATTTCAGTGTGCCTATGTGGGTGCATGTGTGCGTTCAACCTATTTATCTTCATGCATTTATGCGTGTTTGTGTGATGTCCAAAGAGACTGACTGTGTGTTTTGTCTTGGATAGAAATGTTAAGCTATAAAACTACAGACTCGACACAGCCATGGAGGGAATGGGAGCTTTCCTCATTTGTAGATTTTCATTGAAATAAACCTGCTCATCAAAGGAAATTGTTCAAAACTCCACAGGAATGGCAGATGTGTAGCACCATGGGGCAGATGTCTGATGTTTGCAGAATCCTGCATGTATTTTCTAAATATTCAGGGATTACCACAGTCTGTAGTTATAATCCTCTAGTAACCTGGAATGGTAAAGACAACACAAAAGCTCTAATGCCTTGTAGCACACATTTGACCAAACTGCCCTGTAAGAGCAGGCACACCCCCACGCATTTGAGGTCAGTTGTCCTTATCCCATAAAAGACAACCCAAAAGAGATGATGTGGTTTTTAGATTTCTTTACTCCTGCTTTATAACGCGAGAGCTGTGTGAGAGTTGCTGGGTGATGTTCTGAAAGGACGTCTCATTTGGCTGTCATAAGCAATCTGCGGTGATTTGTTGTGCAGACAGGCATTTGTCTCGACTAATCCAAAGGGCTTATTTTGATTGCTTGATAGATTCAAGGAATGTATACTCTACTCAACAGGGGATTCATTTATTATGCTCCCAAACCACTCCTAAATCTTTCCTTATGTCATGTCAATGGATTTGTCAGGCCACCCTCATGTAGCAGTGGTGCACTGGTGGGGGAAATTTACCTTTGCCAAGCAGAGTTAGTTGCTGTTTCTGAAGTACCAGTGGTGAGTTAAATTCTGCAGCAGGAAACAAACTGGACTTTGTTTTGTGCCCTTGAGAGAAGCATCTTCTGCTGATCTTAGGAAAAAAAAAATACTACTCCAAATCCATACTGAAGCTGAAAAGACCAAGCCTAGAAACTCCTAGAATGGCCCAACAAAGTTATTCCATGGGTTGTTCATGATACACACAGCAGTTAATGTCTAGAAAGCCCTCCAAGGATGCATCTACACAGACACCTGCTATTGCTGCCTTTGAGTTCACAGTAGGATTTCCAGTAATGTTTCCTTCATGCTGAAAGTCAATTTCAATTTCATCGCATTCAGACCTAGAATTTATAGAGTGAGGTTTTTGCTCAAACACCTGAGTAGCCATTGAAACTAATTTTCAAATAGCATTTTTAGGTATGAATATGTCTTTTCTCTAACCTGTTCCAATGTCCTCTTCCCCAGCTGGTTAGGTATGACCATTAACCAACACATGGCAAATACACTGGAAATGTCATAAAGTTGATTACAACAAATCCACAAGCAGAACAGTACTATATCACAGAATCACAGAATGGTTTGGGTTGGAAGAGACCTTAAAGCTCATTCAGTTCCAACCCCCTGCCATGGGCAGGGACACATTCCACTAGAGCAGGTTGCTCAGAGCCCCATCCAACCTGGCCTTGATTATGATAACTAGAATGTACATATGTATATTCATGATTCTGCTTGGTTTTAATCAAACAAAATTACTGATTGAAAAAGAAAAAAAAATCCAAATAAAGTGAAAACATTTTTGAACAAGGAGTAGTTTTAAGAATTCCTGTCCTTCGAAGCTGTGCCTGTCATCTGTAGCCTTGACTGTGAGAAGACATTAATAGATGTCTCTTCTTGCCTTGGGTTCCAGTAGAAACTGGCCAAGGGATGAAGGAGTTGTTGGAGGGTGTAGAAATGGTATGACACAGAAAATCTAGAAGGACAGCCTGGGGATGCAACCTTCTAAGCCTCGTTTCCTCAAGAAACCAGAAAGACATAAACCTCCCTTTATTCCCTTTGCTCTTTTCTGCTTCACTGCTTCAAGCTGGTTTATGTATCACCATCTCCAAGCTTCACTGTCCATCCTGGGCTCACCTGGGACTCAGCACAGCCTGCAGATTCACCTTGGGGTTGATGCACATTTCTTTGCAGAACAAACTTCATTTGTCAGCTGATCAGCCATCACCAGGGACCACCGGCTAATCCCTGATCATGTCAGTGCTTGGAAACAGCAACTGCTGGAGCATGAGAACCTCTGAGACACGCAGGTGCTGAGGTTGGACAGTGACAAACCTCTCCAGTGGGACTCCTGACATGCTCTGCAGAGTCCTGGAGGACTTGAGAACTGTGAATAGGGGGCAACTGTTCACTGTCTCTTCCAGAATGAGAACTAGGAAGAAGAACTCATTGCAGGCAAATAGCAACAGGAACACAGAGTCCCCAGAACTGAAAATGACTGGAAAGCCAGACATTAGTAAGGGTAAGTATTATATGTGCTTCCCCTGTTCTTACTTTTCCTATAGGGTCATATTGGTTTAGCCATCTAAAAGTTGGACATCCTGTTCAAGCTGGTCCTTCGGAATTTCTCTTAAGGACTTGGAGAGGATGCCAGCACATCTGGAAGACAA